CTTAAGTGGAAATACGGAAGTACTTAATTTTTTTTGTACTTAAGTATTGCAAGTAGAAGTATTTCGAAAATTGCTACTTAAATATCGAGAGTACAAGTATAAGTAAAAATACAAGTACTGTATATATATAAAAAAGGCAGTCAAAAATTTGATAGATATTGTTTATATTATTTCAAACATGTGAAAGGCCATACAGGTGTTTACAAAAACAGAAAACTACATCTGCATTAGCAATCAACAGCACTTAAATACTATTATTTATTATTCCAGAGTCAGAATCCTTAGCTGAGCCTTTATGCTAGCATGTAGCATACAGCTACACAGCTAGGTTAGCTTTAGCTAACGTTATGATACAGCTAGCCAGCTAGGTTAGCTTTAGCTAACGTTATCATTCAGCTAGCCAGCTAGGTTAGCTTTAGCTAACATTATCATACAGCTAGCCAGCTAGGTTAGCTTTAGCTAACGTTAGCTGCTACGTCCTGAGTGAACAGGGAGAACTGAACTAGCGCTTATTTACTAGCTTATTTGTTATTGTTTTGTTTTTTTACTTACCTTGATATGCTTCTTCAGATTAGATGGGGATTTTTTTAAGGCCATGATTTCGGAATCTTTTGGGAGGCTTTTTTTTTATAGGCAACGCTTGATGGCTCAAATCTCCCAATGAGGAGCCAGCTTCACAAACCGTGACAAAGATATCTATCATTACGTTTATTTATCAATAATGATTTAGCTCGTGAAAAATCGATCCGAGTAAAAGTATTAAATTAATCAAAAATATCAGAATCAGAATCAGAAATACTTTAACAGTCCCAGAGGGAAATTATTTTGTTAATGGCTCCATAAATAAAACAGCGGCATATACATATATACATGTCTGTACATATATGTACAATAAAGTACAGATACTGCATTTTGGTACTTAAGTAGTTCTACTTCGTTACTGAATATCTCTGAAAACAACACAGACTGAGAGACTCTTTTCCGCTGATAAATCGCTGATTTATGTTTTTCCAATCTCCCAGTGGGCGTCTGCCGAGGCCAGAAGAGAAAACTCAGCTGCAAAGTGTCAAACTGAGCCTTTTTCTTCCATCTCTGACCCTGTTACAGTCTGGACCTGGTTCCCTCCTTTGTGTGTCAGGACTCACAGTAAAAGCTCAGAGCCGGAGCTCTTTGTCTCGTGAAGGTTTCCTCAGAGGCATCCTTCAGCTTCTCACGAGGTCTTTGTGGTGTTTATTCCAGTTGTTTGTGTTTTGATGCTGTTTAGATGCAGCTGTGGCTCCAAGTCACAAAGATTTTAAACTCCATAAAACTCCTCAAACTCTCAGGCTCCGTCTTTAAGCTAAAACTGAACTAAATGAGTCAGAATCTCCCTGAGTTTTCACCAAATTAAAATGTATATTTCAGTAAAACCTCTTGGAGTGGCGTTCCCCATTTCTTTATCTTAATTTTTATTTATTCATCCCTTCGAAGGTTTTTCACTGTTTTCTTTTGACATTCCCACCTTCTTCCCAGTCTATTTTTATGAAATACTTTCATGTCATTTTTATTCGAGCCCATAAAAACTGACCCATGAATGAAGGTCAGGAATGTGTTGTATCCACACATAATAAATAACTAAGCAAAAAACCAAAACAACCACGAATTAAAATGGATCTTTTGGCACTTTGTTTCTAGCAAGCTGTCAAAAAGACAAAACAATTTCCCCTTTTTTATAAGTTCCATCCATTAAAAATGACATAGATTATACTAATGACAGATAAATCATTGTGATTTAGAGTAATGACAGGTAAGAAAACGGAAAACGTGGCAGTTTGTGAAGGACAAAATCAGAATGAGGAAGATTACGAAATCTACTGACAGTAAATTGATAATATCTGAAAACGACGTCCTTCAGAAGGAGAAAAGAATCGAGCTATTGGTGACTTTAGATCTGCATCCGGACATTCAGCCTCTGGTTCCTGTTGGTTAAAGCCTCTTCAGAAATGGTCTCCATGGAAGAGTGGAAGTCAAAGAGCTGTTCCTACTGAAGGGAAACAGAGAGAAGAGGCTGAGCTGTGGACTGGAAATGAGAAGCAGCTGTTGATGGGGGGGGGGGGGTACAGCTCAATTTCAACGGGTTCATTTTGTAATCTCTACGTATGGAAGTGAGGGCAGAGGTGATATATTACCTAAATTAGTGGATTCAGGACGATAAAAAGCATTTATTCTAGTTCACCCTCCGGTATAATGTGGAAAGCAGCTGAATGGCCCCAGTTTCCGCTTTCAGCAGAACAATTACCCCGAACGCTCTAAACTAACTCAGTAAAAGCTTTTTCCTGCATAGAAAAATGCACACACTAACCTCCCCAAGATCCCACACCCACATTATTACGACTGAACAAAAGCAGACAGAAATCAGAGACGAGCTCTTCTGCTTCCATTTCGTTTTCATGCTTTAATGGATCCCTGCAAATGTTGTCTGTCAGTCCTTGCGAAATATAAAAATAAATGCAAAGAGAAACATTTGTTCCTGAGGTGGAAATCATCCACCGGCAAGAAAAAATTAACATTTGTAAAATGTGAAAGCTGTGGGACTGTGGGAGGCTTCTCTATGGATTTACTTAATCATCCACCAAAAAGCGGCTCAAAAAGCAAGATACAGAGTTTGTTCATTACTGTGGGGAAAAGAGTTAATGAGATATTGCATTTGTAATAAATTAATGTATTATCAAATGTAAAGGATTAATGAATGTTAACGAGACTGACTTCTGTTTTATCTGAAAGAGCACCAGAAGCCAGAGTTGTTTTTTTTCCGCCCGGCTCCACAGGACATAATTTCCTTTAGTTGATTCCCATGCGGCTCTCATGTATAACCGCTATAGGATGGAGGTCTGTGAAGGGCTCATTTTCTATTTCAGCTCACTCAAATTCCCCTGCAACAGATAAACACTATTTGAGGAGCTGAGAGATGTTTATCCGTCCTGGAAGGATAATTCGTTTCCATCCGAGTGTCTGTTCCTGAGGGGCCGTTCGTCTGGAGCCGGGGGAGACTCGGAGGGTTTTTCTCACTCTTTCACATCAATCTGAAACCTGTGTATTCTTACTGATGCTGTAGTGTCAGTTTGACAACACAGTTTGCCATTTCAAGTGGTTTGTTTCCTTCATCGTGGCGAAAATGAGCATTGCTTTAGCCCATTTCTGTTGTATATGTGCTAAGTCAAGTTAAGGGCCTTTTACAGCTATCTAAAGAGAATAATGATATGATCCAGTCTATGTAATTATGCCACAACTTGATAGTTCAGAGTTCATGAGAAATTTGTGGCCTGCCAGAAAAAGGCTGAGAAACCGTGTAGTGGTGAGTGTCATCTTTCTTCTGTGTATATAAAACATGGTGTAGCCACAAGGCTGCTTTGATTTGACTTAAAACTCACAGCCTAGTTTTTCTTGCAGTTATTTCTGTGCTCACACAGCCATAATTCACACAGAGGAAGGAATTCCTAACCAGAAAAACTTTAAGTGACAATAACTAAGATTAATGAACAGTGGAGGCTGCAAATAAAGCACTTTTCTTGGCAATTTAGTTTAATATGCCGACATAAGCCACCACAAAGCAAAGCTTTCTTTTTGATGGTTGTGCTTAAGGCAGTTTACGTTTTACATTTTAGAAACTTGGTTTCTTTTCCAATCTCTTTTCCAACCTCTTTTCCCCACATATCAGGTTAATTTCGTTCAGACAAAATGAGCCGAAATGTGTCTTAAAAGTCAAAGCCAACACATGAAACGGCAATAATCTGGTTTTGGCGCATTAATGCCAAACTTATGATGATGAGTTGCTGTGGAGTTCTTCTGCCTCTCAGTGGTACGAGTCTTTAAATCCTGCTTTAGGCCTTTTTTTCATTCATTTTTAACCAGACATCCTCTTTGTGAGAAAACTGCACACTTTGACTCAACCACAAGTTAAATGAATTCATCATAAGAAAGGATAAAAACTGAATTCATTTAGAATCAGAATCAGAAATGCTTTTATAATCCAAGAGGGAAATTATTTAGTTTATTTCGTTGCCAATTTTACAATTGTCTTTTGGTGTCCATTATTATTATCATCATTGTTAATCAGTTTCCTATTTTGCCGGAGTCCATTTAAAATGTACTCAGTTCAGAGAAAACACTGTTTCTGTATCATGCACACATACGGCTTAATCTCAGTGGGATACAATCTCGACCTGAACCTGCAGAGGGACGGAAAACTGTGTTCACAGATAGAGATAAATCATTTCCCTCTGAGATTACTAAAGTATTCCTGATTCTGATTCTGAGATATGTGGAAGTGTTCCTGCCTCCATGCAATGATTTAATATGACGCTTCATCTGGACCCTTTCATGCAGATATGTCCCCAGATTATATTAAACTTTCGATTATATCATGAACAGTAGAGGATAGACTAGCTCAAAGCACAGATTGTACATGCAGAAACATAGATTCCTTAACCTCATCAGACAATTGATCTTAAAGACGAGCTTTCTAAGGTGCTCATTTTATACCCTATAATATTACTGACATAACTAGTTGTGGAGAAATCCATCTGATTTGTTTTAGCGAATTCTTATTCAGCCTTTTGTTGCTCCATCCAAGTTTATTTTAGATGCGTTGCAGTCCTGGAATTCAAGATGGCCTTATAATTTTCATGAAATATTAAATTGTCTCGCTTTCATCTCCTGATTTGTTTATCATGTTCTGCTATGAATTAAGCATCGGGGAATGAGATTCGGTTGCAGATAGTGGATATTTTCCCCCCATTGGTTAATCTCAGTAACAGTATTGACACTTTTTTTAACCAATGATGAGCGATCAGTATTATTTTGATTATACAGATGATTTTGTGATATGAATCCAGCTAAAAAAAGTAATATTTATCACGACACTTTCAGTTATTTGAATTAATATACTGTTTTGTGCAATAGCTGAAATGCCTCATCGAGGTGATACCAGCAAACAGGAACGTTCAATGTCTCCAATAAAATGAACATTTGTTTACTCTTTCTTTTCACCGAGCATTGGATCTGCACCTGAACGCACCACGCGTCTGACGGCTCACGGTGGTCATGTGACCCTCAGCAGCCAGGCCACTCTCGGCTTCTCCCTCTTTTGCTCCAATGTCGAAGGTGCTTGTTCCTGGAAGAAATGGACTCTGGCAATGCGCGACTTTGATCATTCAGAGATCCGATCAGTTGATTCTGTGAATGGCGCCAAAACAGGACCCTAAACCTAAATTTCAAGAAGGTCGGTGCTGAAAATGAGGCGTACGGTGGCCGTTAACGGTCCGAAAGGGGGCGGGTTTGTTGTTGTTTTTGTTCGTGCTGTAAATGTAAAACAACAATAAGGGCAAAGTGGGCTTTATTTCAGTCTCTTAAGTTTAAATGTGCTTTTCATTTTAATTTGTATCTGTCCCAACGTTAGCTTTACGCTTCTCAGGTAAAGCTAGCTGAGCAGCAGCCGTTACGGCTAACGGCTAACGACTAGCTAGCTAAACCATAACAACGAATATCTGGTTTACATATTAAATTGGGTCAAATTATGACTATGGACCGTTGTGTTAGTCCTCTCAGCTGTTTATATTTTAGTACTTTGCCTGACTTTAACCTTCCCTCTTCACAGGTGAAAGAGTCCTGTGCTTTCATGGGCCACTGCTCTATGAAGCAAAGGTTTGTCTGGGTTTTCCTCGGTTATCGATAGTTTATTAGCTGTAAACAAACTATGCAAACGACTCTCTTATCTTACAGTGTGTCAAGATCAACATAAAGGATAAGCAGATTAAATACTTCATTCATTACAGCGGATGGAACAAAAAGTGAGCAGCTCATATTGTTTTCTCTCACCTTACATCATGTCTTGGTTTTGATGTGTTCTCTGATTTGAATAAAAGCATGTTGATGTTTTTTTTTAAAGGTTGGATTTGTTTGTCTTTTACAGCTGGGATGAATGGGTTCCTGAAAGCAGAGTTCTCAAGTATGTGGACAGCAACCTCGCAAAACAAAGAGAGCTTCAAAAGGCCAATCAGTAAGTTTTCCTATTTGTTCAAATAGTCAAAGTTTGACTTTTTCTGTCTAGCAGTGAAGCCAAAATGCTAGAAACTTGCATTTTTTAAAACTTTGATTGAATATTGATCACATCATATGCTGAAACATAGTAAAACAGTTACAGTAATATATGTAATTAAGTATCTGACATTTTCCTTTTCCAGGGATCACTATGTTGAGGGAAAGATGAGAGGTTTAGCACCAAGCAAGAAGATTGCTGCTGTGCAGCAGAAAAATGTTGATCTGTAAGTATTCAACTAAATTTACTTCTTATTTGTAATGTTCTACACCAGAGCTTTGTTTGTATGTAATGCAGGTCATTACAGTAGATTGGCAAGAGAAACAAATGAGCAACAAGATTAGTTATTAGTATTAAAGGGGGGAAATAAGTCACGCCTGCAAAATCGCCAAATAACCACCAAATAAACAGCTCTAACCAACAACGAAAAGCACATTGATGTGTGTCCACAGCTTTCTGGATATCACATAATCAAACCAGAGGGTGTGTGTGGTGATATGCAACCAAAATGAAGGTTTCTGGCCCAAAAAGGAGAGATCACTTTGGACATTTTAGCATGATACGTTATCCTGTTTGTGGTGATATTATCAGTGTACCGGCCATCTGAAGCCCATCCCAGCTGCCAGAGGCAATGGGACATGGTGTTTAAGATAAAAAAGAATAAACATGGAAGGGCGACTGTACCTGAGCTGAATCTCATGAAGAAAAAGAATCGTGTTTTCAAGAAATTAAAAATAAAAACAAACATCCTTCCAAATGATTATTAAATACAAAAAGATTATCACTTGGAACGGACAATTCAAAGTCCAAAATAAGGGTTATTAAAAGGCCTGACATGAATCACATAAACATCCCTGAGCTGACGCTTTTCTTTCCAAAGAAAAGGATAAAATTGCTCCTGGTGTTAAGGAGAGTTTTTATCTTTAGCTGCTGTTTCATAAAGGTCCACCCCGCCCCCACAGTGGTTTGGGGCCATTCAGCAGAACCCAACCCAGAACAGGTTCTCTCTATTTCCCCTGACAGAGTTAAAAGCCTCTTTTTCCAAGAAGAGCATTGAGCTGGAAGTCCTCCAGAAGTGGAGTTTGACAGCTGTAACATGTTTTGTTTTCACATCATAATAAAGAAGCACTGATTAGAAAAAAACAGCACGTTGCTTGTTTTCCTTCTCTGTAATGTTTTTTTAAATTGTTAATCAGCAGATTTAATGAAAGTTTGCAGAAGATGGAAAATAATTTTGTCTTGTTTATTTAGTTTGATTGACTTGATCCTACTTGTGATTTGTGTCATTAATGGCCATCTGACTAAAGCTTTTTTTCATTAAAACTGTTTTACTTTACACTTTAATTAAGTTGTGTGTTTGTGTACTAACATTATTTTTTATTTTCTTTATTTTAGGAAAGTGAAAAAGGCTAAACAAAAAAGTAAGTACTTTATTTGTACACTCAAACAAAATGTTTTAATATTGAAGTGTGAAGAATTATTTCAGGAATATTCCAAATTTGAATAATAAGGAAGTCCCATTTTATGTGTTTGTGATGTTAGTGTATGTCTATATTTACCATATGTGGCAATTTTATCACTTATGGGTTTTATCAGAGGGAAAAAAAACACCTTTGAAAATGTTCTATACCATTATATTTTCTTTGAAAGGATTTCTCTTTATGTAAAATGGGTCGGCAATTTCAGGGCACACTGGAGCAAAGAAACAACGTCATAAAAACGACATCAAACACTTTCTACCGCAGCCAAAGTGCTGCAGGCCACACGGCCACCTTTTGTTTTCCCGCTAATTCATCAAGCCTGTCAGCTCTGTCCTACTTTATTTAAAGGTGTAACGAATGAAAAGGCTGTGGGGTCCAAAGTAGGCCTTCAAACTTTTCTCTGTTAGGATGAGAAAACCTTGTGTCGGGTCGTTTGTTATTAGTCATTTGATGTGCTGTCCAGCCCCAGGTCCCGGAGAAGGCACCAGCAGTGGAGAGATGCCCCAGGGACCCCGGAAGAAGAGAGCCCGGGTCGATCCCACCGTGGAGAGCGTTTGTACCCGTTAATGCTCTGGCTCTTTTTCTTTTCTTTTCTTTTCGTGAAAACAGTTCTTCTGTATTTAGATTAAACCTTCTCTTCTGAGAAAAACGGGTGGAAAAGTCTTGAGATGCCAGGAGTGACTGTGAAATCTGTTCATAAAGTTTAATCAGGGATGAAATCAGTCACTTTATTGCCCACAGAGAGGCTAAAAGAAGATGTCTCTGTCTGCCTTTTTCTCAAAGGAGACGAGTTGAAACATGATAATTTAAAGGCAGCAACTGGATGTCTGAGATTCATTTATTGACTTTAGTTTGAATCTCAGAAAATGAGTCGATATGTGTCTGATGTGTGTGTGTGTTTGTTTTCAGGAGGAGATGTTCACCAACCGTGTGGAAGTGAAAGTCAAGATCCCTGAAGAGTTGAAGCCGTGGCTGGTGGATGACTGGGACCTAATCACACGGCAGAAACAGGTGGGAACTCAACTAAAAAACACCGAAACCAGAGCATACTTTCTGCCTTTCGTCCTTGGTAAAGTGGAGGTTAAAAGCTTTGAACAGAGAATAGTCCAAACTCTGTACTCAGTTTAGGTGCCTGACCTTTTCTGGGGAGAAGCTGGTAGGAAACATCACATAGTTGGAAAATGGTGTGAAAATAGTTGCGCATAATAATCCAAAGTTTCAGATAAGAGGGAGAATTTTTCTGATCCTTACAGCTATTTCATCTACCTGCAAAGAAGAGTGTGGAAATGGTCTTGGAGGAATATGCAAACTACAAGAAATCCAAGGGACACTCTGACAACAAGTAAGCCGAATGCTCCCTGAATGTTAGAGCAGAATATCCGGCCATAATGCGTCCACCTTATCACGCCACCTGTCACACAATGTGTTTTTCCACATTATGGTCATCAGCCGCCTCCTGTGAGAGGAATTACTGGCAACTGTAACCCGCTTGTGTGCGCTTACGTTATATAACATTACTTCGGCCATAGTTACGCTTCCTGTGGAGCTGAGTAGTATTTAAATGACCATAAACAAAACGATCCGCATGTTTTGGCTCATTTCCAGCCGGTCATATCCGCAATAGTCCTTCAGTTATGGCTTTTTCCAGCTGCCATGACCTCCTTTAGGTTTCAGTTTCAGTTTGATTTATTCTGTTCTTGGTTGGATTCTTAATTATTCATCACATAGATTATTTACTTTCTTGAGGGGTTAACTCAGGACATTTTTTCCCACTTGTGCTGAGCGGGTTCTGCTCTGCGCACACAGGGAGTACGCTGTGAACGAGGTGGTGGCCGGGATCCGGGAATACTTCAACGTCATGCTGGGAACTCAGCTGCTCTACAAGTTTGAGAGGCCGCAGTACGCCGAGGTCCTGGCGGAGCATCCGGACGTGCCCATGTCCCAGGTGTACGGCGCCCCGCACCTGCTGCGCCTGTTCGGTACGAAACCTGCGAAGAACTATGAAAAACTCTGAGATGCAAATCCCCACAGAGAGCAGATCCACAGGAGACCAGGCTGCTCACACACACTAGGACTGTCAAAAGTATCGATACTTTATTTATTTACGTTGTTTATGATCATTAATGTGACGTTAGCCTTGAATTGCTAGCTGCGGCTAATGGCTAATAACAACACGCCAACATTAATCAAGTCCGTCTGGCTGCAGGAAGCCAAGGATGGATATCCAACTCCCCCACATCCAAGTCGGCCATTTTGATTAGGTCACCAATAGGAAGACCCCAGGCAAGAAAATCCTAATTGCTTCATGGCAATATAGACATTAATTAAAAAAATATATTATGTTGAAATAGTGCATGTTAAATAGGTTTGTACATTAAGTCCAAAGAACTTTAACCATAAAATATTTATTTTTCACAATTATGAAGGGTGGAGGGTTAGGGTCATTAATGCGGGCCACCGGCCCCCATAACATCAGTAACAGGTCAGTTAGAAACAAAAGACACTGAACTGTCAAAATTCAGTTTAATTTTGGGGTCTTTGTTTTTATCCTTGTGGTATCGAAAATGGTATTGAATATTTTCCTGAGTATCGATATCGAGTTGAAAATGTTAGTATCGTGACAACCCTAACACACACACACGCACGCACGCACGCACGCACGCACGCACACACACACACACACACACACACACACACACACACACACACACACACACACACACACACACACCATGTTTGAAAGCTGAAAAGAAACTGAAGTGGCTTTGTAATCATAATGTTTTCTCTTCACTTGCACTCTGAGAAAAGAAAAGTGTCGTCCACTGTGAGGCTTTTTCCTGCCTCCATTTCCATCCAGGGGTTGGATTCATGAGTCCATGTTCAAAGCCAGTCTGACTTTATATGGCCCACTGTTTAGGAAATTATATAAGCAGAAGGTAAATCACCGAACGCTGTTATTACACTCGTGTTGTTTGGCTGTCAGTTGAGTTTATTCTACCGGCTTTTCTGGCTGAATCCTGCAGGGTTTTGATGCTACACAGCACAGGCCGCAGAGATTTTTCTGTGTTGAAACAACGTGCGTCCCCTCTGAAAATCAGGTCGTTTTCTGACTGAACAGAGTGCATGAAGAGATTTTATTGAAAGGACAGCGAGCGTTGCTTGGGGGGGGGGGTCATTATTCAGCCTGATTGTGAACAAAACTGCTCTTTTCTCGGCTCCCTCTATTAATACGTGCACTTGAAAAAGCAACACGGCTTTTGTGCGGCGGCTCGTTTGAAAAGAACCTGAAACTCGAATCGGTGATTACAGGCACGGCGAGGTGCTCGTTTTCTGTCTGTGTTGTTTCAGACTTTCAGGCTTTCCGACGCTGGTCAATCTGGTCCTCAGCCGCTCGTGATGACTGTCATTAGTTTAGGTCTAAATCGCTCCTCACAGTTAGATTTCAGCCTGATTCGGTTTGATGAATTCATACAGGTTTCATACATGTTCCCTATGAATTACTGGGAGTTTTGGTTTAGCTTTTAGCTCAGATTACACACATCTAAATAGATCAAAAGCTGGAAAGATGGATTTTTTCTTTATTAATTGTAGAGAATGGAATTAAAAAAACATCTGAAGTCAGCTAGTGACATTTAAGGTGGCGGTTATCTCAGCACAGATTCAATAGTTCATCATGAATGCGTTTGTTGGGTTGTTTCTTCCTGTCTGCAGTCTGAGACGCCACCAGGAAAGCAACTGGTTTAAAAAATAGGAGTCCATCTTTTACAGTTAGCTTAATAAAGAAGTCAGAACATCACCTGCCCTGGAGGGGGTGTTAGTTGGTCTGAACATGGAGGTGGGGTTAGCACAGCGCCCCCTTCAGGACGCCGGCTGTTATATCACAGCTCCACACTGGCGTCGTCCTGTTATCCCTCTGGGTTTAAACATCCACATGACACATTAAACTGAGAGTGTCATGCAAAGCAACATGTTTATTTTTTCCCGAACTGGTTTTTACAAAAGCTGTAGATAGACTCCTTAAACCTCTGCTAACAAAACTCTGTCATCAGAGTTAATGACGATCTTTAAATATGATGCAGTATTTCATTGTTTGGAAATCTTTTGAAAGTCTTTTAACATTTTAAATGAATTCAGACACAGCCAGTATGACACAATAAAAAACTAACATTTCAGGGTAACTTTCAGGTAAGAAAACAGAAATGAATGTGTGTTATTCCTTTTTTTGTTAGTAATTGTTTGTATTGGTTAGAATAAATTCAGGGTTTGGTTTCTTTTGAGCTAATAGCACACCTCCAAGAGAAGAAAATGTCCCCGGTGTTATATAAAAATCTACATCAGTTGTTATACAACACCACAGATACGTGTTCTGTAGTAAATATGCTCCATATTCAGTGTTCATTTCTCACTTTATGAACAGCTTTTGCACCAATGAGTACATTTTCTTCTCTTCTTGGTCCACAGATACTTGGATACAGAATAAACCATCAGCAGTCATTTAAATGAGACCCTCCCTTGTTTTTTTTCCTCTGCCAACAGTTCGCATCGGAGCCATGCTGGCCTACACTTTACTGGATGAGAAGAGTCTGGCTTTGCTGCTCAGTTACCTCCAGGATTTCCTGAAGTAGGTTCTGAGTCTCTGCCCACCAGAGACTGCATGTCATGTCTGGCTTATTCTCACGCGTCCTGTTCCAGCCACTTTAGTGTTCGTGCAGCCAGGCTTGTTGTAACTCTTTAAAACACGAGCCATGAAATCGATTTTCTGCCTTGGAAAACATTTTTTTCGCTCAAACTGGCTCCACGCTGCAGCACAAATCTGGCAGAAAGAGCGAACATTTGGGTATTTAAAACAAACGCGCATATTAAATCATACTCTCAAAGATGATTTATGGGAAAACGATTCCAATTATGTTAAGTGAAAGTTTAAAAAAGGCAACCTGTATCCCAGCAACAGCGCAGACGTTTTATCGACCAAAGAAAATTTACCTCTCATGTGGTTGAAGGATCACATAATGCGGCATTTAGGAGTATCTCAGACTTACTTTCTTTTTCTGCATAAACAGCTCTATTTTTACTTTTTATTCAGGATTCAAACGATTTTTTTCTCTTTTTTTTCCTATGAAACTGATGAGAGATTCTAAATTAAGCGCATCATTTCCTGTAAATTGAGCCTTAATTTAGCTACATTCTAGTCATTTCCTTAGTTTGTTGCTCTGTGTGAGCTAAAAAAGAGAAAAATAACTGAGTTTTATCTGTGGGAGTCCAGCAAATTGATGTGGAATTTCCTATAAAGATCCTATCTCTTCACATATGACTTTCATCCAGACAAATCTTTCATCCTGCTCTGACACCCGTTGCCATCTTATCTTGGTTGGGATTTTTTAGTGAGCTGACTTTGACCGCTGATAAGCGGTTCATATGTTTTGCTTCGTAGTGACCGCCTCCTCTCCGTTTTCCTCCTCAGGTACCTGGTCAAGAATTCAGCCACCCTCTTCAGTGCCACTGACTACGAGGTCGCCCCCCCGGAGTATCACCGCAAAGCTGTGTGAGAGCTCCCAGCGACACAAAACCAGTAAAAGAACCATTACCACCACCGGACAAGCTTTTTTCCTTAAATTCCCTCAAATGCCTCTTTTTTCAAAGGACTCAGGAGAATGTCACAGTGGAGGAAAAAAAAAAAAACAGAAAACAGTGACACGTTTTTATGAGATCACTTTTAGTTTTTTGTTTGTTTTGTTTTTTTTACACAAAATTGTGTTGTGTAAACACGAGCAGCTCTTTGGTGTTTTTGTGCAGATGTACTCGTTACCGTTGCATGCCTGTGTATTTATTAGTATTTCCTCTGCCACGTAATGTGCAATTTTACTCACAACCACATGGTAAAACGTCAGCCGTTAAAGGTTTTTGTATGCTGTATATTTGTATCGATTTGTTAAAAAAAACATTTTTACACAACCTCTATGTTGTTTACTTGTTTCTCGTTGCCATTGTGTAAATCATTTTGTGTTAGGTTTGTCCTGTGAAGGGTAACTGAACAGAGGGCAGCCACTTTCCTCTGTCCTCCCATCCAAACATCCATGTAAAATGTGCTAAGTTTGTATTCGTCTGACAGCAGTGAGCAGTTCTGTCCATCTCTCATGCACCGGTTCATGAAAAATATAAATTTTGTGGCTCATAACTAAGTCATCACTTCAAGTTTCATAATTTATGTTGCCAAATGTAAAACACTGAAGATGTCTGCAACGATAAATGTTGAACCCATGTTTGTTGTAATATGTAGTTCTTTTTGAGACTATGACAGCAGACAGGCGTCATGAAAACTGTACAGATCCCAAGAAGATAAATAAATGATTATGGATGAAATATTTAAATTGATAAGTCATCATCAGAAGTCTGATTTTACCCAACTGTTACCACTCATCTGGGACCTAACAGAAAACAATTGACTAGTACAGTTCAACCAGAATTCATTATGATATTACTGTATGTATCCTGAGAAACATTTGATTAAAATTAGCCATCTAGTCTGAAAGGTAATTTAGATCTAAACATGGAGGTGGGTTTTCTGTTCTTTTCAGTGTTGAAATAAATATAAAGACCCATTTGCCGCTGTAAGGAAACATCTGTAAATATATTCCCCTGGAAAACTCAACAATTAAGACCAAAATGTGTTGCTTTACTGGAGCAGAATTACATCTAAAGGCAGAATTGAAGTTGCCTATAAGACTCTTATGTAACTCATTGATTCTTAATGTTTCTATCAACTATAACCTGTACTTTTACTAATGTGGTCTGTTCAGGTGGTGCAAAAAATTGTAAATCATCACTTGCCGTTGATATGGGATTAAATTAGTGAAGAACAAAGGATAATATTTTGCTCTGAAATGTTGCAAAAGGTATTTGTATTCATTCGAATAAATTTGTATTACTAATGTGAAAATGTCCCTGAATGTCTCTGCGATGGTGGTTTCATTTTCCTGGTGGATGTTTATGTGTTGCCTCTAGGCAAAATCACGGTGTTGTTTTCATTTCTCCTTTCCACATTAGGAGTCCAGACACTTCTAGTTAGCAAATATTTAAGCTCTGAATAAAAATCACTCAATAAACCTTTTGGTACAGGGAGTAACACCAGGTATATCAGATTTCCATACACATATATATTAAATGAATAAAAGTAGGCCTTTTTTTTTTATCAAGATAACAACAAAAATCCTAATATAGCTTAAGATTGAATCCATTTACCTGGTAAACTACATCAGAATCAGGGAAATTATTTTTGTTACCAACTCCAGATATACAACAGCATATACATATACATGTCTATAAATATATACATAAATACAACGTTTCACACAAAATATAAATATATACATATGTATCAATATGTATATATACAGATCTAAAATAAGTGTTAATAACAGTGTGAGAAGAATAAATAAATGCCAATAAATGAGTGAGAATTCACAGAGTTTATCTAAATGTGATAAGAAAACATTTATGGACATATTAGTTTTGTCTAAGCCCAACAATAAACAATAGGAAGCAGAGTCCGTTATGTGCTGCCCTACATTCAGCGTCTGGTTGTGTGTTTTTGTGTGTTTTTCAGCCTCCGGCTCAGAGAGTACAGAGGCGCAACCGTCTCCATGACATTATCTCCATGGCAACAAGAGGAGTAGACAAAAGCAGGAACACGCCGTAAAACATTCAACATTAAGTTCAACGTTTAAACGATGCAAGAAATAACTTCCTATATGAGAGTCCATGGAGTTTGTGTTTATTAAAAAGTTAAAGGTTTCTCAAAAAGTTCCTATCAAACTGTTTGATAGTAAGTGTGAAGTGCGTGTTTTAAATAGTGCTCAGCTCTTAACCGCTTTTGCTGCTAGCATAAAATTGTCGTTAGCATCTTGATGCCGTGAAAATGGTACTTCAGCAAACCGACCCACTACAGGAGTACCCGGCCACAAGGGGACAGCACTTCCCCCCTTCTTTCCATAAATCCCCCTTTAAACCGGTGGGTACCCATAGACATGAATATATAAATATAGTATATATGTCTATGTGGGTACCTGCCGAAGCTGTAGCCCGGATCCGTGCAGGTGTGTTTCGCAGTTCAAGTTCAAAAGTAAACACATTTTAAGAAATGCAAAACAAGATCAATATTATCCAGACGAAATTGAAAAACGCTGGCATAATTTGTTGGATGAATATGCTCTTAAAGCAAACATGGGCTCCTTGGCTAAATCTGTTTGAACTAATATGAAATTCACTAACATGTCTAAGAAAGCTTTGAATATAAATATTTTCAAAGAATCCTAAGAGCATCTGACATTGAAATTGAATGCAGCTTCAGCATTAACTTGAGGACAAATCTCCTGTTGAGTGTACTTCCAAGTCTAAACTATTATGTTCTGCTCCAAAGCAACCAAAGCTTTTTGACCCCAACCCTCATATGACTGTAAAAAGATTAAAAAAGTAGTGTTCATAACAGACTCTGTAGCATAAACGTTTTGAGGGTAATAAACACTTACAGGTTGGAGAGTCAGTACATTGCTTCAATAGATGTCCTTTTCCCTTAAACACTGTATGCAGTGTTGTATCTTTTGAATCTTTTGCTTTTTTGTATAGCCATAAATTCCCTCACTACACATTTTAGCACATTAAAGCAATCTTACTTTCTTGCCAGGTATACTTCATCAAACGACTCTTAAAATTCTACAAATGATCAGGTACAAGTATTACAATTAAAAGTCATTTTCACAAGGTACCACAGAGAGGTAATGAAAATGTTTTAGCTGAATTCTAACTGTTAGTTCAGGTGTTCCAGGTAAAAATGACGTCATCTACATGTTTTTTTCAATGCGTCCCAGGACGGCTCCCAACAGTTCCCAACGGCTTTTTTTTCCAAGGAAGTCCCGCCCTCCAAGACACCTGATTGGACGAAGCGTCAACCCCAACCGGGCATGTCTCTGTTTGATTGGTTAGACGGGTTGTCTATCAAGGTGCGATCGGAGTGCGGTTAGGCGTCAGGTGAAACTTGGATTTTGAGGACAAGGGGCACATAAAACTTACTTATTTGAACTTTTCTGAGCGGATATTTTTACTTCTTAAGAACTTCTGCGTCTGACAAGATAGTTTCAATATCAGAAACAAACACATTACAAGATGAAGAGCCTCAAGTATCGACTGAAAAAACACGAAGTTACCATCACAGTAAGTTGATAACTGTCCTTTGCCTAGTTTTGCTAGTATCCCTTCTTTTATAGCTGGATTTGCTAGCCGTGTGCCGATAAACGATACTTGAGTTAAACGTGGCGTTTGGTTGGTTTTAACCCCGAACCCCCCCTCTTATTTTCCACGGTAACCGGGGTCATATTCCCACGGTTGTTGTTGTGTGGTCCGGAGCACCTGCAGCCCGGCGCGGGGCGAGTCTGTGGCCCTAAATCACCCCACCAATTCAGGCTTAGGATCTCTAAGCCGGGTCTGAACCTCCAGCGGCAGACCACGCTGTTTTTAAACGCAGAGTAACAGGATAGTTCCGCAAATCAATGCGCCCCACAGCCTGTTGTCCTGGCTCTTATCACCTGGGACTCTGGAGGTCTAAACTCTGCTGCTGGTCTTTCCACTAAAGGCTTCTTTTATGTTGTGATTTGGACCTTTTTCTGTGTACACCACAACTACAAAACTGTCTCAATCTAAACAATTCTGTCACCTTTCTAATAGTACCAAAAAAGGGTTTAATTAGCACATATGATCAACTTTGTTAAAGTTTAAAGGCGACAGCAGGTGTAGTGCAGCTAAATTGAATTGCTGGACTGAGAAATGATTCCTGTACTTACTTTTTAATGAAGAGAAATTTCAAATGCTTAAGATATTAATGCTTTAACAGAAGGACAATTTAAATTTTCAGCCCAAAGAGCTGTGTCCACATATCACAAACATGCCCAAAACAATGGTTGTTATGATTTAATGTGATTTCACCTAAAATGTATACAGCTTTATTATCCTTATAAACATTATTGAAGAGATCAGGAAGTTACATTTGACCCATAAGCACCCAGAGTGACACAGGTCTACCAAACAACTCAATAAAAATGCCCTATTTGGCCAAAGAAACATTAATGGTCTGACATTTAGTTGTGGTATTTAAAACTTTTTTTAAAAGCGTGATCTAAGGTGTAAATTGGTCAGTTTACTTTTTCAGTTGGATTTTTTAATAATGTTTCTTTTAGGAAAAAATGGTTGGTGTTATGGGTAAATCAAATTTTTGAAAATATGTTGTTTTTTTTATCATGAGGAAACAGTAGAATCAGATATGAGATGATCTTCTCCCTCTGGATTATTCCAGGTAATCATTTAAGCTTGACTATAAATTTTAAACACAAAAACTCAAACTTGAGTCACTGCCAACGTTGGCAGCTAAATCAAGAGGGTGTCCACTCTGGTGTGACACAAAATTAGCATTTGCTAACTGTTAGCCATCAGGCTACCATGGATACACAGCAGATCTTCCAGGAATGTGGCAGTCCTCATGTGGGCTAAGCGTAAATCACTGTACAGTTAGCCAAACCTTCTGGTTAACACCCATTTAATAAATGCTTTTCTCATTAAAGGAACTTGTGCAGCCTTTCATAGGAGCAGAATTCATTATCAACCATTAAACTGTGGCTTATGAACTTTGCTTCATGAACTGTTTTTACACCTGATCTTAAACCATAATGTGTGCATGCCTCTGCTGGTTTTCTCTGCAATTAGCATGACAAAGATGGGGAACCCATTAAAGCTCTGTGTGGTAAACTACCAAGACCCCCTTTTTATTTAGACTGAAAAGAAGCCTTTCGGGATGGAAATAGTATTTTGTCCGCATTGATGGCTGCCAGAGGAGAAAAGCCGGATTACTGGCCGGTAGCATTTTGTGTACTATTAATTTAACCATAAACTCGGACCAGGATGGAGGCCGTGAACGGTTCAGTTTTCTGTTTCGAGTAAACGAACAGGACATTTATGCAGGCAGGCTGCATCATTTCACAACACCCCCACCGTGTGCATCTGTAGAGGAAAAAACTGAAGAACTCCACCTCTAATGCTGATTTTCCATTAGCACCCACTGGGCTCCGCTCGCCTCGCCATGACTCAGTTCAGGTGTTTTTGTCCCTCACTAGTGAGGTCCTAACGGAGGGGTGGCTCCACTCGCCTGTGACGTTTTATGTGGGACGAGCACAAGCAAAAATAAAGGACATAGTGGTGCCAATATGCCAACGAATCTGGGTGTTGTTTGTCTGTGTATTCTGCATTTAGGGAGCCGTATAACTCGCTGGCCAATCAGGGGCCGACATTCTGCTGTTGGCCCGACTCGGCCCGCTTAAAACCCGGGCGAGAGGCTGATAAAACCCCCATTACTAACCATAAAGGTGTATAAGGAAGTACTGTTTCTTTACTTGGATAGTGATACTTGAAGCTGCTCATCACATATTTCAATCCTGTGGATCGGTGTGATTTTCAAACAATTTTGGTGTTCATGTAGCATGAGCCAGGATAACTGTAATCCTAATTTGATCTCATCCGATGGTATCTTCAGACAAATAACAAAAATGACTGTCTGACTAGTCAGCTGAATCTTATATGATTTCAAACAAGTTTAAAATATATTCAGAGCAAAACAGGCTGGGATTTAAATGTTGTGTTTGACCTTTTGTGTCTTCTATTAGCCTTTTATTACAATGGGGTTAAATGGTAAGAGGGTTTTTTCATCTTACATTTGTGTTATTTTAACTTGTTGTGCTTTACATACTTTGCTTTTTACAATTACATTCATATTTTATAATGTTTTTTTTTTTTACTGCTGACTGAGTTGCTGTCTGTCTTGGCACACTTTAAAAAGGTTTTATTTCCTGCTGAATGAAGGATAATAATGCATGAATAATATGCAAATCAGTTTTTTGGGCT